ACAGGGTCATGGTATAAAATCCGCCAAAGACTGTTGGCAGACCCTCTTGGTGTGTGACAGTTTACTATCTTCACATCAGATATCATATCATCGAAAGGACATCTTCACTCTACCAGCAGGTGAATCTGGGCATTTCCAACTTTCCCTATAAGAATTTATCTTTATGTTAAAAAATAGGGAAACATTTTCAACTGGTGTGCACCTCAAATATAATCCTTGCAGATCTAAGTAAACCAGATTCCTTCCTCACTGTTACAATATGAGAAAATAATTTGAGCTGCCTTGTAGCTCCTGTGATACCCAGGATTCAGACCCTCATGACAGCATTACCTTAGCCATTTTATTGGTGGAGAAGGGCATCCTTTTACCATCACTATGTATTCTATACATTAAACCAAATATGCTTTTGAAATCCCTTTTCATAGACAATAACCTTAAATGTATTGAATGTTTTGCTGAATGTTTATGTTCAGGATAAGGGATAAGTCAGAATTTAAATAATTTACTTTCTCGCCTCTGAAGCCTAAGGCTTCCCTCCTTCTGTGTGAAGCCTTTGAGCACTAAGCCAAGCTCAGTAGTGAATCCCACCAGTGCTCTTTGCTTTCTGACTAAATAAATAAATAAATAAATAAATAAATAAATTTACTTCTAAGAGTTTGCCATTGAACACTTAGCAAGGCATAGCGTAATTGTCTGCCTTCTTTAATGCATTTTAAACTCCATGTGACTAGACACAACTGATGACTCACTTACTTACTTTTTTTTTTGTTTTTTACTTTTTTTTACTTTTCAACACTGTAGATATTGTTTGTGCTCATCAGAGTATGGAGTACATACTATATACCCAGATGTTCACTGAATTTAATATTGACAAGCATTTTGATGCAGAATTGTATAAAGTTGAATCAGCTGTGTTTAATCAGAATAGAAGAAGTCAGTACTGTCCATTTCTACTTTCTCTATATATGTGTATATACATGGAATATGCATGTGTACTCATTCCTTCACTTGTACAACAGACAAGACTTATGTAAGAAGACCTCTAAAAAAGATCTGAAAATACCTTAGGTGAGCCTTTGTATTATTTATTGTCTTTTAAAAACATTGGATCAACATAAAAGGGGGGACTTCTGCCCCTAGACCAAGCAGAGAGGGGCCACCTATAACCCCCTCTGACAGGCGATCTGAATTCTTGCTTAGGCTGCGAGGCTAAGCACCACAAGGGAATATAAATGAAAGTTAACCCATTGAACTGATCATGGGGTTCTCAATGGAGGAGTTAGAGTGAAGACTGAAGGAGCTGAAAGGGTTTGTGGCACCATGAGGAGAGCAACAATACCAACCAACCACAGCTCCCAGGGTCTAAACCACCAGCCTGGGAGCACTTAGTGGGGGATCCAGGGCTTCAGCTGAATATGTAAAAGTGGAGGGCCCTGCTGGGCATAGGTGGAAGAAGAGAACCTTGACCTCATGAAGGCTGGATGCCCCAGGGGGTGGGAATTTTGAGGGTGGGGAGGTGGGAGTGGGGGGGGTGTAGATAGAGGTTACATCCACAGAGAAGAAGGAGGAGGGGCGAGGGGATTGGGGGTTCCGAGGGGGTGGTGGGGGATGGGGTAAGGGGACAACATAGGAAATGTAAATAAATCATCCAATAAAAAAAAAAAATAAATGAAAGTTAAAAATATCTCTCTGGGTTCCCTGAGGGACAAGCCTGACTGCATAGGGGTTGATGTCAAAAGTATCCCCTCTCCAGGAAAAAGACTTCAGGATGAGTATAGCCCTCATGCCTCACTGGACAATGACAGGGGGACTGGTGCCATTGCAAGGTCCCCTTCAAATACTGGAGGTCAGGCCTCTATCCCCGCCTTCGCAAGTTTAGAATTACGACAGCCCTTCTATACTTAGAGAAGGGAGGAGATGTCAGGGGCAGCTCTGCTTACACACTGAAGGTCTAAAATCAGCCATAGGCCTAAAATCAGCAATAGGCCTGTCATACATGTATACTAACACCAAGTCTTGGGTCTCTGTGGAAAAACATTGAAACAGATGGCTATAAGCTATTGTAAACAGGCAGTTTTTGTGACAATTTACCAGCCTGAGTAGTCATAGACCTTGTAAATAGGTAGCCTTGGCAGACAATATCAACTTAGATAAGGTAAAGCGAGTCATAGGCAGAGTCATAGTGACTTGTCCCCTGAACCTTCACCCAGATGATACCTGGTCCTGAAAGATGTCTGTATTCCCCCTGAACACCCATACTCCAGTGTCATTCCCTTCCCCACATCCTGCCTTTCTGTGTTTATAACCCCTGTGTGAATGAATTACGATTTGAGAAAAAATAAATTATTTAAAAAAAATATTGGATCAACTATTGCTATCTTGGAAACACATATAGGCTCAAAGTTATAGAAAAACAATTTCAGTGAAATATGAACTATATAATTTTGTTTGAGCAGTAATCATGAAAGAAGTATTCAAGTATTATAATATGTTAAAATCACATACTAAAAATTCAATAATATTTTCTCAATTATATACTTTATGGCTTTAAATGACCTCAATATTTACAACTAAAATATTTTTAAATTAGTTAAATAAATACACATCTTTTCAGGAAAGAGTTAAAAGGTCTATTTTCCAGAATACTTTGTTTTCTACACTAGCCAAAACAATATATTTGATGATTATTGGAAATATATGCTGTTAAATCCTGCATGGTCTTCTGATTGGTAAATATCCATTTATTTATGTACAGTCAGAAATAGCACATGTGGTTTAAGTTTCATATAGTGTGGCTAATTATTCACATAATAGTGTTTCTTGAATTTGATTTGTGCTTTCTTGTTTCCAACGCACTATGACATGTGCTATTCTGTTGAGCCTCAGAAGGTACAGTTATTTACACCTTACAAACAAGTTAAGTGGCTTTTGCCAACACAGCATGCCTATGTTGTGATAGATTAAAAGCTTTAATACAGGTCTTTATTATTTTAGTTTGTAAAATTCTTCTGTAGAAGCAGAGTGAAGAGAAGATTCTGTCTCATGTTAAACATCCACATTTTGAGATGTATTTTAAGGTGGTAGGAGTCTCCATGAGTGCAGTCCTATCGTCCTTTCTGTTCAAAGAATGTAGCAGGCAGCAGTGATCATTTCTGCCTAAAGAAGCATTGTGTACATTTAGTCTTTTGCTTGGGAAGGTAAATGAGCTGACTTCAGATAGGCACTATAGGCAGATGGTTGAAATTCAGGCAACTGTTTATATGCATTCAAAAGAGTGTTTCTGACAGTATGTTTCTGCATGGGTAGCCTCAAAGGGAGTGGATGAATGGGAACTGAAAGCAAGGTTGTTTATAGAGAAAAAATGAAAGGGCTTAGTTTCTATTCAGGCCAGGAAGATGACCTAGATTTCCCATACTAGAATGTATTCATAGATGGACTTGAAAAAAAAATTAGTTCTGTGGCCTGATTTTAGTTCCAGCCCATTCCTATCTATTCTTTCTGAAGAGGTTTTCTGATCTCAAAAGAGGTCCTGTTTAATGTGTGTCCCAGGTGCTGGCTTGTCACAGCATTGGATGATCACAGAGGGTATTCCAGCCTTACTCAGCACCTCAACCCCAGGAGGCTGTTTCCCTGGACTTTAAGTTTAAATAAACAAACATGAAATCTGAGGCTTGCTTATGATCCTTGCTTCATAGAACACTCCTCAGAGTAACCGTGTGTCTCTCAGGAGACTGAAAAAATAGCCCTACACCCATCCAAATGTAAAAATAATTCCACAGATACTCTTCTTATAAGAGAGAGACCAGTGACTGAAAAGAGTAATAGGACACAAAATAGAAAATTCTTATGATTGCTCACGTGTTGAGTGTGTTTTGGGTTCTATGTCAATGCACATCACACATGTGTGTGATTGAGTGCACATCTGTGTCTTCCTAGCTCCCAGGACAAACAAGCTTATAATTTGTGGGAGGTTCCAAGAATGCAAATTGGAAAAAGCATCTCCTATGGTTGATCATTTCTGCTTTATGAATAAAGATATTTTAAAATAATTCATCTGTCCAGTTGTGGTTTAGAAACAGCTGCATGGTAATTTTTGATATCTCCAAAGTGATTCTCTAAAAGCTTTTGGCAATGGATTTGTTGGTCCCTTCTTTACAATGTGACCAGTGAACAAGGCAAAACATGAACTTTGGGAATCTATGAGCTCAAGGTCCAGGAATGGCCAGATGGCATTAACCCACTGTTACATTTAAACAGACTGCAATATGTGTAATGGGTTAAGCACCATAAAAGCATACACGGATGTAAATAATGCTTCATATTCAGAGGCCTTCGGAGCTTCAGACCCAGGAAAACATGTTAGTTATCCTTATTCAACGATCGATGGACATATTTACTCTATTTTTCCTTTACTGAAAATGTGGTGCTTTTCTGCCTTTCTTCTCTCAGAAAATATCAAAGCTATCTTCTCAGCTCTGAATAGGAGAAATTTAAAGGCTTCTACAATGCTGTAACCTCTGCCTATGGTAACATATGTAAGCATGCAATGCCAAATCCAATATCATGATGTTTTTCATGTGCACTTTTGCTTTTTGTTTACATATATCTGCTTAATTTTATGTGTAGAATGTTTTTGTTTCCATGCATATATGTGCACCATGTGTGGGTCTGGTGCCTACAGAAGTCAGAAGAGAGCATCATATCCAACGTACCTGGAATTTGAAATGGTTGTGAGCTATCACAAGGGTACTGGAAAAAGAAATTGGGATTTCTGGAAGAACAAAGGTTCTTAAACACCAAGCTATATTTTTAGCCACAGTGTTATAGTCTAAGACATTTGAAAGTTTTACTATCAACCATGTTATATTCTTTGCTTTCTTGATTCTTTATTTAAACAGCACATCAGCTAGTAACTTAGAATGTGTTTTTACAAAATTTCAAATTAAACACAGCTTTTCTATAGGATGAACATAAACAAAATCTTTTCCTATGTCTTGCAGAAGATGCTTATAAAACCCAGGTGAGGATTGACAATGAGCCTGCTTACTTAGACATCTTGGACACTGCCGGTCAGGTAGGTAATGTGGTTTTTTTAAAAAAATAATAATTGTTTTAATTTTAAAATTATAATTACATCATTTCCCCTTTTCTTCCTTCTCCCTAGCACCTCCCACATATTCCACCCCATTCTCTTTATGAGTCTTCCTTCTAGTTGTTGCCTGGATATGTCTAGTGAACCTCAGCAAGCTCAGATAATTTTGTGTTTAAACTCATCCACACTGATTGTAAAATAGATGACTTAACACTTCAAACAGGAGAACATCTTTGCAATATTTTAAAGATGAGAAAGAATTGACTTTAAAATGTGATTCAGATTTAAAATTTTCCTTGATAGTCAAAGTATTAAATTGTGTATTAAAATACCACATTGCCAATGGAATTATAAAATTAAGAAAGTAGTTTGTTACTCTTTATGCAAATGTAAAAATGCTATTTGGAGTCAGGAGAGGGAGGAGTGTCTATAATTTTCAAGAAATAACATGAATGTAAACAGAATAAAGATACTCTATAATAATTATGAGAAAATACATCATAGATACAATATGCCAAAGTTCTTTCTGCGTAGGAAGTTGGAAGCTTTATTTAGCTTCATACTTTTCAGATAATTGTTAAAATAAACTCTTGTGTTGAGCTCCAGCTGCAATCCATATAAATTGTAAATAAGCAGAATAATTAGGAAGGACTAAATATGAAAATTTTAATGCAACATAACACATACAAAAACAAACCCTGAAACACAAGGAAAGAGATCCATATGCATAATGGTACTTATGAATATAAAGAAAACAGAAATCATGGTGAGTGGAAATGTCTGTACTTTGGTGGGACAGGCAGCTATCCTCAGGGCATACTAAATAAAAAACAAAGCTTACCTATTGTCTTAGAATTTTATTGCTGTGAACAGACACCATGACCAAAGCAACTCTTATAAGAACAACATTTAATTGGGGCTGACTTACAGGTTCAGAGTTTCAGTCCGATATCATCAAGGTAGCAACATGGCAGCATCTAGGTAGGCATAGTTCATGAGATGCTGAGAGTTCTACATCTGAAGGCTGTTAGCAGAATACTGACTTCCAGGCAGCTAGGATGAGGGCCTTAAACAACACACTCACAGTGACACACCTACTTCAACAAGGCCACATCTCTTAATAGTGCCACTCCCTAGGCCAAGTATATACAAAGCATCACACCTGTATTTTTTGAGAAGAAAGCTGTATGGAGTGAAGCAGGATTCAGTTGTAGCAGTTCACGTGTCTAGAGTGCAAGTGGTCCATAGTCTCCCTACTGGAGACTTCATATATATAAGTGAAAATTAGTAAATCTGCTAACATCATCAGTGGGAAGACATTTCATCCCAAAGCAATTTTAGGCTGGAAAAGTGATATTTTGTAGTGGCAAAAAGGAAACATTTTTACAATTCTGATTTTAATATTAAAGCAATTCTGGATCACAGCAGAAATCATTAGGGTTTAATCTCTATGTTATGGACATGGTAGTTTTCCTTCTATTCTTGTTTTTGAACTTAAAGATCTTAAAACTTAAATATAGAAGTTACAGAGCTGTGTTTGATTCCAGCACCAGAAAAATTTTAAACAAGTTTAATTTTTTAATCTCTTTTGTATAGCTACTTATGAATGACTACAGAAATTAGAGTGTTGATAGTGAGAAATTCACTAGAATTGAAAATCGATTTCTGTTTTATGAATTGTATGGTAACAAACTCATTTGTTTCTAGGGACTTTGGACAATGAACTGATGGGTGAATTTCTAAAGACTTTGGAGATATTAAAATGTAAATTTATCTCAATTATTCAAAAGGGCATTTTTATGTAGAGAAAAATAGACTTTTTCCTGGGAATCTGGAAGCCTAATTGGAGAAAAACAGAACATGCTAAATTCCAGTTAAAGAAATGAGACTGTTTTTTAAATTATAATAATCTTCAGCTACCCAAATAGTTACTTTGATGAACCAACTCAGAATAACTGAAAATTTCTGTTACAACTATGTTTTATAGAATGTGTTTCCTTTATTTGTTGAATACAGTGGTTGTTTCTCATCTTCTGTACAGACTTGGCAATGTCAATACAGACTATTGTTTGTGGGGTGGGAACTTGTTTGTGAAGTGTCTAGGGATGTTCTGTTATTTCCTCAAAAACATGTCTCAGGTGGCTCCTGGTCTAGAGAAAAGAATGGAGCAGGGTGTAGACTTAAACCTATGAACAGTGCCAATAAGATCCAGCTTCACCAAGATCTGTTCCCATTGCTACACAACTTGTAAACTAGAAATCATAGCATTATTGCTTCAGCCTTTGTCATATGCTGGTACCATATAGCTGACAAATGTGGCATTTAATGGATTTGTTCAGTATAAATGGAGATATAGAATAGTCCAGATCTGTGGGTAAAGTGGTGTACAATGGAACATAAATCTGAGACTTCAAAACTGATAATATTGAGAAACTTGAGGGTGTTAAGGGTGTTAAATCTATACACCATTACATACTTGTAAAGCCAGGTATTAACTGTTGCCAAACATAGGAGAAGTACGTACGGCTAAGCAGATGGTGATATGTTGGCTTTTACACTATTATTAAACCTGCTCACTCAGGAGGTGGTCCATGCAGTTGATTTAACAGAAATTATATCCCGGTAGGGGACTGGAAAGAACTATTGAAGTATTTTAATAATGTCACATTCTTGATTTTGATAACATTAATTTCCATATTGGTCAAAATTTATTAATTGTACAATAAACCTAGAAGGGTGATAGAAAAGCTATCATTAATGTTATTACCTGGAATTTGAGTATCACGGTTTGCAAACTAGTGAAGGGCTGTCCTCTTAGAGGCAACATGGAAGGCCACATCCAGCTTGCTTTGTGATGATGTCTGAAGAGGAGAAAAAAGACAAGCTCTTTTCTACTCATTTCAATGGAGGACACTATGATGAAATACAGATCAACAAGGAAGGCCTAACATTTAATTAACCCAGGTCTTATGAAAATAAAAACTTCACAGAACAAAGATACATCTGGAAATTCAAGGAAACCTTGAATTCTTTTTCCTCCTTCAACATCCAAAGCTTTTTTATTTACACTTAAGATCCAGGGTTAGTTTTTGTAGCCTCAGCTGGCCCTTTAGCTTCAGCTCTTTCGAGGACCAGATAGGAGCACAGCGCCTCGGCCTCTGGGAGACTCCAGGGCCAGCTGGTCTGAGGTGAGGATCTTACCCCTAGCTTTGGGGATGTGACTTTGGGCAGGATGCTCACCCGCAGTGCACACAGGTTCAGCTTGAGCACTTTCAGAATCCTCACATCATCTGTGACCATCCCCACAGCCTCAGTGGTTTTGTTGTCTCTGCCATGAAGCTTCATCTTTCTGATCATCCGGGATAGGGACAGAGATGACTGGTTAGTGTGATTCATAAATTACCCTTTCAGCACTACCTGATTCAAGGCAGAGTTGATCCCTGGCCAGAAACCTGTACAGCTTGACTAACAGCCACAGGTAGATGTCCTGACTCTGGAGCTCCTTGCGCTGAACCTTTGATCCTTGTGGTGAATGTCAACACCCACGACGGCACCTTCTGCTTGGCCAGATTCAGAAAGACTCAAACATTGTATTCTTACGCTTAGATTTGTTGGCAAGTGGACAGCTGTGCCGAGAATGGTTGGTCATAAATAGGGTGGAAGCTAGACTAAGGTAAAGAAAGTAGAATCTAAACTCATGTAGAGTCCTTCTGGCCTCTCCTACCAACATCTCATTCTCCTGTGATTACGCAGGGTCCATGCCATGTATAGATCTTCAAGTGACAGTGAGCTCAGCCTACCGCATGGCTTCCTGCAGAAGAACCCTCATGGTGGAAAGAAAGTGGATTCCTGAAGTTATCCTCTGGACCCCCAAATGTGCTTCACAGCACATTCAAACTCCCATTTTGATAAAAGAATAGGAGAGAAGATCAAACAAATTACTTTGTTTCTGTAGATTTGACTATTTCCAAAATGCTGTGCTTGGGCTTAGCATGAACTTCCCTTTACCCCACGCTACAAAGTAGAAACTCTATAGGTATTTACAGCACCAACACATCTCAAATTAAGGAAGATTTTTAATCCATCTTTCTTCTAGGGTTTGAGTTAGTATTTTAATGCTCAGTTTTCCCACAATTGCTCAAGAAACGTGTTTGGCTTCTCCTTGTTTTAGGTATTGTGTTTCTAAAAGCAACCAGTCTACAGACAACTATAATATTTAGAAGGAGTTTTCTAGAAACAAACTAAAACATTCCTGACTATAGCTATATACTGGCTTTAGGAGCATCTGCTGAAAAAAATATATTTTGGAGTTGGAGTATTTGAGACTCAAGGAAGATTAAATGCTTTTTCAATCAAATCTTGTGCATTTGACTTGGAAGCAATTTCAGACTCAGAGATAATCACACTTTTATTTTTACCTCTTTTACGAAATAGTATAGCATCAAGGACTTCATAAAGAATGAAAGAAACAACAACAACAAAACAAACAAAAAATTTAGGATGTCTCCATCCTCAAACTCTAAGGTTTGGAACAATGAGGCTTCCATGTTATAAAAGGTAGCCAATAGTGAGACAGGCTTCAGTAGAATTAGGCAAATCTTGTTAATGAGCTCCCTGAGATACCTACAATGTGTCAGTTAAAAACAAGGGAGTTACATATGGTTTTAAATGAAAGTCCAAACACGTGTAGCAAATATAGACTATGTTTATTGAATCATGGTCATCCTTATGAGTAAGAATGAAAATAGTCTCCAATACCATTGGTACTTTTCCTATGCTATTCTACCTAGTAACCAAAACTATTAATATGCTATTATATCAAGTAACTGAAACAAGACTTGGAAAGGGCCATGAGCTTGGCTGCTACAGGGGTCTACCTACTGTGGAGCAACAGGAAGCACAGTTTTATCTGGTTTACTCTCACCAGCTCTGCAGTCTGAGGGGGCCTCCAGCCATTGTGAACCTAATTTACTCCTCTGTGA